AATTTTTACTCGAGTTATCGTGTGCACAGACGGACGGACGGACGGACAGACAGTCACCGCTTAATCGATTTCTCTTTTCATTCTGATCATTTATGTATACATTTGTCTATATCTATCTCGATTCGTTTTGCCTGTTACAAACAACCGTTATGTGAACAAAGTTATAATACCCTTGTGCACAAGTGCGCTCGGGTATAAAAAAGCTATCAATGGGTAGGTTCAGAACCGCAACCGTTGCTAAAAAACATCAATGATCGTTATGCGTCTTCTGAACGACTTCATACATTAGCTGTCAAATTCAACTCTCAAACCAACCAACATGTTGTCTCAAATGATCAGAAAAATATTACGATCATCTAACACGCAACTATTCAGTTGATCAGAAGTACGCAACAACGCGTTCAGAAGGTGCAATCGCACCAGTTACTGAGCTGTTGCGTCTTCTGAACGTGCCCAATGAAAATTCGTTTCTCTTTTGAAATCAAGTTATATGGCTGCGTATGTATGTACATATGTACATATTTCGAAATTTATTTTATTTGTAAAGGCACTCAAGAAAAACTAAAAATTCATATAAAATTACGCACAATAAATGGAAAATAAATTTTCTTCTATAAAAAATTTCTTAAATCAGTATGCAGCTCTTAAGTAAAAAATGCTCGTACATCTCGTCGCTACCATGTCCAACTATCGAATGTGAAAATCGGCACTTTTCAAAATTTTGATTTGCCACTAATAATTTTATTTCGTATAGCAGTATTGCTTAAGTTGTTGTTTTTGACAACTTATTTGTTGGTTAATGACTGCAAATAGTTTTATAGAAAATTAGAGACGAGAAATAATACTTTCATAAAAATTTAAGTACATACATATGTAGATTTAAAAAGCTGCTTGAATACAAAAGTTTTATGAAAATGTCACATTAAACAACTGTCTTAATCTACGTTATTTTTTATAAATAAGGCCGTAAACATTTCCTTACATCGTCAATTTCCATATTCTATTTTTACTCTTTCAATTTCACTGACCAGCGCTGCAAACGATATCAACTAGTAGGCTAACAACCAGAATAGAAATTTAATACGCAAGTACTTACCGTACTACAAGTATACAGAGAGTAGATTTGCCACTCCCTTTTGGCAGCAGCAAATATTTCTCGTACGCGATGAGAGAAAGTAGAGTACCTACTTTGGTGGAGTAATAGCAAGTACGTCAAGTATTTACTCTCTCAACGCCAAGTAGTGTATGTATGCGGAAAAAGAGTAACAATGTGTTGGGAGTAGAGTACAATGCAAGGAGTACTTATTGAACGAAATGCGGCAAATACACTTGCGCTGGACTTTAATACATATGTTAATCGTAAATCCTGTTTTGTTTGTATAACTTGTGTTTGTTTTTGAACTTTCTAAAAAGAGAAGTATTTTGGCTAAGCAGTTACTTAATTTTGAATGATTATAACTTTTATAAGATAATATTTATTTCACTATGATCCTGTAAAAACAAAGCAACCTAACTGATTTAGCGCTATCGATAGTGCTATCGATAGTTTTGTTTTTTTCGAGACTATCGTGAATATTGATAGTTTTTCTGAAAACTATCAAAACTATCGATGGTGTGACTATCGATAGTTTGACACCTCTAGTACAAACGCAAACTGACCGGCTGCTAGCGGCGCATAAGCTCGGTAGCTGCTCACACACGACTTGTATGTGAAAGCCGAGTAGCTCCCGGAGACTCCCGTTTGCACCACTGATTAAAACAGTCAGGAAAAATTAATCAATTTTGCTTCTTCGTTTGTAAGCGAAACGGCAACGCTGAACACAGCTGCAAATTAGAAAATAAGAACAAGAATCTTACGTCGCTCGAACGAAAATATTTGAATTAATAGAAAACAGAATAAATTCGAACGTCGAGCAAAAAACATTGATTTTTATTAATATGAATCGGCATCCCTACAATACAATTTTTCATGCATACAAAGTCCATTAAATAGTCCAATAAAAATTTGGTGCTTTTTTCAAGAAAAAACGCGATTTTTCTTGGGTTTTAGTGATTTTTCAAATTCAGAATTTGGCAACACTGCGTCCACGGGAGCTCTCATGCTTCCGACAACCGTTCAAGTGCCGCGTTTGCTAGTTTCGTGAACGAGCATTCGGAATACTGGTTTGCAGTGTTGCCAACTTTTGAGTTTCAAAAGGCACCAAAACTTAGAAAACAAAGCGTTTTACCACACTAAAAGCACTAAATTTTTTTAAATCAAAGGATACTTTTTTTCATAACAGCTTATAGTATTTAACATGCTATGATGGCTCATGCTTACGAAGTAATACCGAAGTACTGCACATTTAAGCTTGTATTAGTACTAAATTATACCCTAAGTAGAAATTAGCAAAAAAAAATTGTGTTTTCACAATGTAACCTCAAACATCGGCAAAAACGTGTTTTTGGCACTTTGAGGATGGATACCTCAAAATTCTGGCGTGCTAGAGTAATTCTGTGGCCAAATTTGGATCATTACCAAATAATTAAAAAGAGACGATGTGTTTTACTCAGGAGGTAAAAAAAAAATAAATTTGGCGAACTGTGTAATCAATCAAAATATGTACAATTAGAAAAGAAAACAGAAATACTTAAATTACCCGTGTACGGGAACGAAGGTTTGCAACTTGGGCTTTTTATAAATCATGGTTGCATTTTAGTGCATTTAAATTTATTGATTATTGTAAATTCAGTGCTGCCACAGCTTTAAATATTTCAAATTATTTCATTTGCATGAGAAATTTGAGTTTAGAAAAAAAGCACTAGACACAACCATTTTTTTGTGTTTTAATTTCACGGTTGCCGTTTTGGTCCATTTCTTTTCGTTTGGTCCATTTCTCCAATTGTTTTTAAAATGGTCCATTTCACAAGCCTTTGGTTAGGTTATTATCACCCTTTAACTTCATGCAATAGTTTCGCGTTTTAAATTGTTTCTATGTAATTGATGAATATTCCGCCCTATGTTGAATATCGTCATCGTCAGCCACGTTACTGATGCGCTGACGATCGTCGGCGATGTCGATGACGATGTTCCGCATAGGGCCGATTGGCAACAGCTGCTTAAAGTGTGAACACGCCTTGCCACTGATCTTCAAATATGGCATGGCTAATCATCTGTCAAAGCGGGCTTCAAAAAATATCGCGGTTTCTTGCTAATTTCAATTACTCAGTGATCAATTAGGGGATACCCTTAAACCCGAACATGTCTCGAAAACCTCGAAACTTTTCCAGCCTCGAAAAACAACTGTCAAAATCTGTTTGAAAGGCGTTTTCCGCGTGCCTCGAAAACTATCGAGGTAAATTAGTCGCGAAAAAAGCCTCGAAAAGTCGTTCGTAAGTTTCAGTGTTGCCTTTATATCCGAATATTCTACGAACTTAGTGACCTTGCGTTTACATAAGACAAGACAATTGAGAATATATGAATGAATTATTTGAATTCGCTTTGGCTATTGCCTTCGAAAAAAATGTCTTGTGTAAACCTCCAGTAAAAGAAAACAAAAAACTGAAAGTAGGCAACACTAACTGAAAACAGCTGAAAAGAGCTTGAGCAGCATGAACAAAGAGGTAAGACAAATTAGCTTATTTTGGAAAATAAATAGGTGCGTTCGACAAATTTTTACTGGATGGCGTTCGATAACGACAAAAAATTATCCAACACACAAAAATTGAGAGAGCAAGCGTTCATTTTGATGCCAGAGAAGCGTTCATTTTGTACTGGTAAAATTTTAGTCAGCAAAAATTATCCAACACGAAAACATATGATCACAAAACATATGGTTGCCATTTCTGTAAACAAACAAAATTGCATTTTCCGAGTTTTGGTATTTATATGCTTTTTGGCTGCCTGCTATGTGGCTTTATGATAGCGCCAACTAGTTTTTGCTTCTAGAAATGTTCCTGGCGAACATTGAACGTTCACTTACCTTTTTTCTCTATGGAGGCAACATGAATTTCAGTTTGTTTACAAATAAAACATAAACAAAGTCAGCTGGTGTGTTTTCTTCTTCCGGTTTTTGCAAGTAATGGCTAATTTCCTGTTCGTTTGCTTTTTCATCTCTTTGGGAGAGAATTTTCGCTTACTCTCTTGATTTTGATTGTTGGCTGGTGTTGGCTAATTTTGTTATCGCACGCAACTAATAAAACCTTTTCTTTCAGCAATTAAAAGAAAAAACGCCAAATCCAAAGCGCCGCAGAGTAGCGTCAGGGCATAGATGTGCGAAACGAGGTGAAAGGCAATCCGGAAGCATTTGAGGTGTGTTTTTATATAGTACAAGTTGTCGAGCATGTGATTTTTCTCGGAAATTTTGTAGAGGCCTGTCACCCAAAAGTTTTACTCAAACATCTCGGCAAAAAATTGGATACTTTTCCAAATAAATTGGAGTACAATGAAGGGGAAAATGCGCCACCTAAAGGTAGCTTACATGGATGCAACGAAATGGAAGGGGCAAACTGGAGCTGGACTATTGGAAAAGGGTGAGCAAAAAAGCGTTGCAGGTGTGTTGGAGTACGTTAACCCTCCATTGTAAAATATTATCTAAAGCGTCTTTTGCAGAGTATGTGGAAAAAATATGTCAATTTTTTGATATATTGGAGGAGATTTTCGGACAAAGAAAAGGTGTCAACCCTTCTGTGATTGTCGAGAGCGAAAATATAGAAATTCTTTTGGATTACCAAAACGAATCGCTTATACTACCAGACTCGGAACTTGACAAGGTTTCAAATAGTTTTTGCGCAGAAGAAATCACACCAAAATGGTCACCTAATAATGCTGAGTCAGAATATTTGTTTACACCAGAATCTCCATCTGATCGTCTACAGCCAGTGAATTTTGCTAATGTAAAAAGCAAGTTAAAGCGAAAAGAAATTCAAAAGAGAAAGTCTAGCCAAAATGTAGGTGGTGTAGGGCAGTTTCTAGCAATGCAGGAAAAAAAATTGGATTTCGAAATAAAAAAATTTGATTGGGTAAAGGAAAAAGACAAAAATGAAGCCAATTTAAAACAAATCGAACTTGAGCAGCTATTGGAATTAAAGAAAATTGAAATAGAGCGCGATGAAAGACTTGCCATGGCAAAATGAAATTGGAAAATGAAAGAGAAGAAAAAATAAGAAAGTATGAGCTGGAACTAAAGTTCAAAAACAACATCCATTAATTCCTTTAACTTATTCGATTACAAAATAAGATAATTAGAGTGTAGTTAAACTAAAAAAAGTAATCAGTATTGCGGAGTTTTCGTTTCCAATAATTTTTATTTTCATCACAAGCATAAGTCGACTGAATTGAAAGAATAATAATTTGAATTATATGATTATATTTTGAATTATATTTATTTTTAATAAGTATTTATGAACAGTAGCAGAAAAAAACGTGCACTGATTAATCATGTTAAAATTCCTCTGCGTCTGAGTAAATAACTTTTTGCATATTTCTTATTAAAATATAGGCCCCTATTATGAGTTGCATTCGATTTTCGACTGTGGTCGAAAGTGCTGAGCGAACGAATTTTCATTTGGTATTATGGCGCTCATTCGATGAAGAATAGCGCTATTGTGAATTTCGCTCGTTTAGGTTGTTCACAATCAGAGTTGGGCAAAATTTATTCGAATGACGAATAACAAATGAATAAATTGTTTTTCTTGTTATTCGTAAATAATAAATAATTTTGGTTATTCAAAAAAAATTATTCGAATGACGGATAAATTATGTTATTCGTTATTCGAATAATTATTATCTTCATTAATTATTCGAATAACGAATAAAATAATAATAAAACAAGTAATTTATGTATATAGATATGTACATATATTTATGTATAAAATGATAACCGTTTTCGTTGTTGTGATTTAACTCAAACCCCTAGATAGATTTAAATCAAATTTTCGGAGGTTATTCCATGCGCATTAAGTCCTATTAAAGGCTACTAGAAAACTCCTTTGTGGCGATGGAGCCGAGTTATTTATAAAAGCCGTATTTATGAACTGATTTCGTTCAAATTCAAAATGTGTTCTTCCTGCATGATGAAAAATACTTATGCGAAAAATGGACCCGCTAGGTGGCGCTACAGTTGAGTTATTTAGAAAATCCCTACTTATTGTACAATCATGTTGCAATTCATAATGGTGCTGCAGTCGAAATCATTAGAAACCCCATATGTCTGGACTCCTTTGTTTTTTATGTTTATATTATACGAATTTACGATGTCCCACGTCATCATATACCCTAAATGCGACCTTGCATCTACCTCCACTTGATGAAATTGCTCGGGCGGCCATTGCTGCAGCAGTAAGACTCAAGGAAACCAGCTCTTGGATATTTTAAAAGTGGCGAATCAGCAAGGAAAGTTTCGACCACATCCTTCCAATTCCTATATCAATGGCCAAATTTTACATCGAGGACGCACATCTGTGCTCTTCAGCATCCTTATAAGGACTTTTGTTGGCCTACATGACATAAGACTAGAGGTTGACGCATCGGACCAATGTTGTAGTTGCAAGATCATAGAAGAAGATTACGCACGCTTAGAAAAGATCTCACAAGTGGAGGTAAAGCTCATGACATTGAAAGGAATTTTTTCTTGCATATAGCATCAGAGCGCTATTTTTTTGGCAGAAATATGTGTGAGAATTTTTACTTTACCCATATTTTGTTTTCAACGCTATTCTTGCATTGGCCAACGCAAAAAATCTTATCAGGGGCCGCGAAACCATAGGGAATGGGCTAGTATTCTTGATAAAATAGTAAACAAAATTCAGCTAACTTACAATTCTTGACAATAGAAATAAAAAAAGGTGGCTCAATGTGTTAAAAATGAGTTTTTATTCATTATTTAAAATAACGAATAAAATAACGAATAAATTATTCGCAAGCAATTTATTCACGAATAATTTATTCATGAATAAGTTATCTGCGAATAATTATATTACGGATAAAATTTTATTCGAATAATTATCTAAATAACAATTTATTCGAATAATGCCCAACTCTGTTCACAATAGTATATTTTTCACCGCTGAGAAGCTTTGTTTACAAATCGAGCAAACTAAATAGTGTGCTTATACATATTTATGTAAATTTGTTCGAATTAAAATAAAGTAAAAAAGAAAGCAAGTTTATAAAAACGTGGTAAAATGAGTACAACGAGTTCTGGTTCAACGATTCGTCAGAGGATGAGAGCTTAGTAAACTGGCCAGGAGTAGCAAATGTTTAAGAGAGTTTAAGTTTATTAGTCTTTCGAATATATTTTGATATAAAATATATTTAAGAAATTTGTCTACAGATTCTTTAAAAAGTTCCGACCATCTAAAGAGGCGTTTGTGAACCAAATCTATTTAAAATATTTTAAAACTATCAACAGCGCTAGGATTTTGTTCTCAGAGATCGTGCCAACAGAGTATTGGGATTTTCTTTCACAAGTAAAGCAGCCTTTCGAGCTTGTGTTTAGTATTCACGATGTTAGAACTGCATGAAGTTAATAAAAATTGTTTAAAATTAGTGTCTAGCCGCCAAAATGTAAGAAAACATATACAAAATCATACATTTTTCACAATTTCCTAACACTTCGCTACACCATCGAAAGCAAAATTCTGTTCGACAGAAAATTCGATACTCAGCGAAAATTTCGACACGCTTGCATAGCTCATAATACGAATTTCACTTTCGATCTTCGATTTTCGATAGCCAGCGAAGATCGAAAATCGAATGCAGCTCATAATAAGGGCCATAGTTAATCCTACAACAAAACTCAGAGCTCCAAACTGTGCGAAATTCTCAAAATTTTCCTTGAAACTTTTACTTTTTTCTAATATTGTAGAAAAATTTGGGTATGCAGTTATGTAGTTTATTGAACTTGTACTTTACAAGTTTGAAGTAGCTGAGATTTACCGTTGATTTTTGTTTTTTTTTCTTCCGACTTGCACTTTATTGTACTAAAATTCAATAAGTTACAAAACTATAAAATTTTTCCTAAAATTTAAAAATTTTAATGAAAATTTGAAGCATTTTTTTAAGTTGTACGCAGAGTTTTGAATTTTGTGAGTTTTGTTGAAGGATAAACTATATTTTTATAAAAAATTTGCAAACATTTTTTTAGATACAGGGGCATTATGCCGCGATTTATCAGTGTCCAGTTTTTTGTGGCGCTACTGAATATACAAAGTGCAAACAGAACAAATAAAAATGAATTTCATTAATTGAATTTATTTTGATCGAGTTGAAATAATTTCAGGTTTTCCATTTCTTTTATAATTTCGATTAAAGCTCGTCGTTTTAATTCCCCTTCAATGACTGGGAATTGTTGATTTTAGGTTTCTAGTTTATCGTTCTCATTATCAGCATCCTCCAGATTCTCAAATTAAAAGTAATCGTCATTGTTTTGCTCTAATATGATGTTGTGCAAAATTCCGCACACCAAAATCCAACGACAAGCTAATTTAATACTTGAATCGTATTTTATTTGAATTTTTAATTCCTTTAGGCTGTTAAATCTCTCCTTCATAATACCAAAGCAATTCGGATGCGATATTTGCTAAAAATTTTATTAAAATCGTTCCGCTGCTGCAAAGTACCATCGTTTGAATTAGATCGAAATGGAGTTATAACAGTAGTAGTTAGCTTGTAGGCACTGTCGGCAGCTATCCATTCGTCGCCGCTAAAATATTTCGGTACCTTTGTAAAGAACTTGCAATTCCTATAAATTCTGCTGTCGTTCACACTGCCTGGATACCCAAGTACCATACTACGAACTCTAAGCTTATAATCGCATACAGCTTGAAGCTTTAAGGAATATATGTGCTTGCGAGAAAAGTACGACTCGGGATCCTCTACGGGTTTTTCAGCTAGCTTTATTTCTGTGCCATCGACGTAACCAATACAGTACGGCAACTCGTGGCATGTGTGCGACACAATATTTTGACGTTCTTTAGAGTCGGGTCAGAACAAAAACTTATCGTTTATTTTTAAAATTGCGCCAAATACTCGATCCGTAATCCTTTGCAACGTTCCACCGTCGCCAACTCCTAAATAGCTTGCAATTTTTGCTACTGTAGCTCCCTCTCCTCGCTAGATCCTAATCGAAATAAAACGATGGCAAGTTGTAACTCAACAGGGAATTGTTTACAAGATCTGGGTCCTTGGAACAATTCGTCACTTTTAATTAAATTTGTTATTGTATTAAAGTTTGTCCAGTTTACTCGTACTAATTGCTTAAATCTTTTTTCATCTAAATTTGGTAAGACATCACATATAAACTATTTTGACTTTGGAACCGTATTAAGTCGAAAAGGGCTGCTATATCGAAAACAGCTTACAGACAGAGTGGACAGAAGCCATTCATCAAGAATTTTTTCTTTTTTTACTTGATTGCATCCTGCGATTGGTTAAAAAATATGTAACTATAATACTTATTAAATTAAAAGAAGTACAAAAGTACAAACCGTCACTTGGCCCAAATATTTCGAGCATCATTAAATCGTTGACTGCGTTTTGATCAATAAATTCATACAATTTACATTTTTCACTTTTTCGTGGCATTTTCAATGCTGATTTTATATTTATTTCAGCTGATGCGATGTATTATATGTGTATGTATGTATACAAAAAAACTCTGACTGAACTGTCAAACTTCGGAATTTCTCCATTGTTTACGAGGCTGAAAAAAGGTGCATTCCCAAAAACAGCCTCGAAAACTTTCGAAGTTTTCGAGTCTTCCACTTTTCGCGTTTAAGGGAGTCCCCTAAATATTAAAGTGGCTGGCAAAACTATGGAAAGGTAGCAAAACTTAAACCATAGCATTTATCACATGAAAATAATATTCGATTTCTGTCGAAAAGATATTCAACATCTTGAAATTATTATACCACATACAGTTGTTTCTGCCACTGATGTATCAATTTTGCCCCTACTCGACCAATTTCCTGCATTGATAAATGATGCAGACATAATTGAATCTGAATTTCTCAAATTCAGGCTGAGTGAAGGTACCTTCAAAAACTGTACCAATATAGAACGTTTTTGGGATCAAGTAAGTTTGATTAAAAATGGATTGGGTGAAGCGGCCTTTGGAGAAATTTCTGATTTAGTTCATCACATTTTTATTCTGCCTCACAGTTCCGCAGCAGCTGAGCGCAAAGTTTTTGATTTAGCATTAATAATAACGAAATTAAGAAACAAATTATAATTTAAAACATTAAATAATATAACGTTAATAATATACAATTGTAATGCACGTTGGATGCAATATAAAAAAATCGTTATAAAAACTGAATTGGCATATTTTAAAGAGGAATAATGAGCTCTCATGCTTTCGGCAACCGTTCAAATGCCGCGTTTGCTTGTTTCGTGGGCAAGCATTCGGAGTTCTGGTTTTCCGAAGTCAATATCAGTATGAGCTGTTATAAGTATCGTTCACATGCGGTGGCTGTATTTGCCACACAGCACGCTTTGGGCTGGTGTTCAGTCATCCACTAATTTCTTTTAGGTATCGATACTACTAAGGCAGTCTGCACACGGGTCGTATAGCTTTAGACGCGTATTAGATGCTACATACGAAAGTTGTACGCTTTGATAACGCACACGTGCATTTAAATGGAGGGCTGTATACGAGTCGTCAGCTTCACGAATTCGTCAAAGCAAGCTAACTGCAAATCGCTTGGCGTACAGCAGTGTTGGTAGCTAGGCGTACGTACGCTTAGAAAAGAGAAAGAAATTTGTTTACAATTTTCCGTGTGCATGCATGCATTTCATTAAAAAAAAAAGCGATAAAACAATAAAATTCGTCCAAATAATAGAAAAATAACTGAAAATTAATTAAAGAAATAATAATTTTGCATCACTTAACATGTTTTGCCTTGAGGCGTTGCTGCATAAAAAATTGTATACGCGTCTAAAGCTATACGAACCATGTTCAGACTGCCTAAGTCAACGCGCTGCTCAGTCGTACAAAGCAGCACTAGAAAAGATAGGGCGTTTTCGAACTGGCTGCCGAGATAGGTCGATATTCCACTCAGCAGTCGATTTGGACTCGCTAGTTGGCGCTGTCACTGAGATATTGGAAATTCGTATTATGGTTATGTTAACTTCATATCGATACCTGAGTGGAAGATCAACCTATCTCGGAAGCTAGTTCGAAAACGCTCTATTTCCGAATTTTATTGAAAAACACCCATCTCAGAATTTGGTTGAAGAACGCCATATCGCAGCACATTTTTATTTTGAAGCTGAGATAGGGCATTTTTTAACCGAATTCTGAGAGGGCATTGTTCAACCCAATTCTGAGATAGGGTGTTTTTCACTAAAATTCTGAAATGGGGCGTTCTTCAATAAAATTCTGAAGTAGGGCGTTCTTTAAAAGTTTTCTGAGATAGGGCGTTTTCGAACTGGCTGCCGAGATAGGTCGACATCCACTCAGGTTAAGATATACATACTTACATATGGGATTTTGGCTTTTAGCATTTTAATGAAAGTAATTTTTTCCTTAATTTTAAATATACATACTTACATATTTACATATATGTATGTATTTCATTCAAACAGATGCTCAAGACAACAAGATATCGTGTTACACTCCCACAAATGCGATCCATTCCACCTATTTCCTTCGGCCAACAAGACACCGAAACCGACGAAGTATTTCAAATATATAGACCTGAAAGGGCTGCTTCGGAAGACCATTGTAATTTATCTGACACGGCTACTACGGAAACCGCTTGTCAATCGATCGATGAGAACACTCCAAAGGCCCAAAGAGAAAGATCAGCTTCCAAACAGAAAAGCGCAAGCGTAGAATTGAAGCCACCTCCTAAAATAGAAGCAATGGGAGAATTAAATGAAATCCAAATCAAAGAATCGATTGCTTGGCAGCCGCATGAAAAGGAACTAAACCAATTTTGGAATATGCCGTCCAGCAGTGACAAGCGAGAAATTCTGCTAGGGGATGAGTCTCAAGCAAAATCCCTTTTAGATTTGTTGCGAGAAGGTGTGTATGATGAAGACAAATCACAAAATTGTGAAAATAAAAATGTAAATAACTTGAATCAAAAACTTTTCGACCGACATAGCATTAATTGTCCGAATGAAAATAAGGGATTTGCATCGCTGCGTCAAATTTATACAAATAAGGAAGTGGCTAGTTTATGGGACTTGTTTGTAAAATGTGATGGGGACATAGATTGGACAGTTGATCTTCTTTTAAGAGAGGATGAATTAATGACCCCGCCGGGTAGTCAATATTTTGAGGCAGCACCTGAAATTGCCGATGACTTTCAATGTACTTGTGGCAAGCAACCAAACATTGCAGACGATAGTATAACGACGGCGATTCCCCCAACACCAACGCCAACTTCGCTTGGAATAGGCACAAAACCTCAAAGGCAACGATCGCGAGCCGCGCGCGTAAATAACCGGACAAATCCAGAGATCCAAGAAATAACTGAGGTTATAGCGAATCGCTTTGTTCTTGACGGTAAGCAATTTTCACCGCATATTCGAAAGCTTCGTGAAATGCGGGAAAAGCTACGAAATCCCCAAGGAAAGTGCTATGCCAGTATCGAAGTTCAGACAGACCCACTAAATGAGGAGGAACATGGCGACGATGATGCTGACGCCGAAGTCAATGAAATAATAGAAATCAATATCGGCGAGGAGTTAGTAAAACAATTGAAGTATATTTTTCAATCTGAAATGACATCATTGGTAGAAAAATTTCCCGATAATCCCGTTTTGAACGTATTCATGCCTCGAACCTTAGCCAAGGAGCTATATATGCTCTGGATAGAGTCCGCATATAATCAACTTGAAGAGCAAAGGCAAAGAACTAGTCGCGAGGATGCAGACTTTGCCCGTCTTCTGAAAAATCCAAAATACGAAAATTATTCGGAGTCACCCGGAAACATACAGGAGTTGTTAGATATGGAATATGCATGGCAGATTTACAAAAATGATCAAGAAACTGAAATTCAAAGAGCAACCAATATACAACAGCGGTATCACCCAAGTGACCTCGCCGCTCACCTAACCCAAATTAAATTATGCGAAGACTTTCCAAAAATTCCGCGTGAAACTCTTGTTGAAATTTTAACTGCTCATGACAATAACTATGACGAAACTGTTAAAGTTCTCAACAGCACAACGAAATCGACAGATCATCACACATTTTCAAATTTGCATAAAAAATTGTTGGATTGTACTTTAGATGAGCAAGAAATGGTAAATTTGCAACATAGAGTATAAGTACACATGTTGTTTATATTATTTCATTTAAACATACAGATAAAAGAGGAACAAGAGAAAAGCAACAAAAACAGCGGGTACATTGAAGCCAGAGAAGATCGCATATCCAAAGGGCCTCTGCAGCCAGAAGAAGCAAAACGAATGGCGCTGCACGATTTTGAGGAAATGCGAAACCTGGCGGCACATCATTGTCAACTCAAAGCCGAATGCTATCAAAAAGCAAAAGAAGCCATTCAAAAAGGAAACAGTGCTGTCGCTGTTTATTATTCGCAAATCGCCAACTTACACAAAATGAAATTGGATATGTACAATCACCGCGCAGCCAATTGTATTATGGATGTGCACAAATATACACAAAATAACCCAGAGCTTTTAGACTTACATTACTTGCATGTGATGGAGGCAATCGGATGTCTGGATCTGTTTATAGATCGCCATATTACCGGACTGCGGGCTGCTTCTCGTAGTTATAAGCACGTATTCATAATCACTGGTCGTGGTCTACATAGCACAGGTGGAGTTTCCACTATTAAAAACAAAGTTAAGACTCGTCTGAAAGAGCGCAACCTTCGGTAAGTAATAACCTAATTTTAGTGTTGATTTTTAAAGCTTTTCTGTTTTTATAGGTGGACTGAGGTTAACCCAGGATTATTGAAGATAAAAGTTTTTTCAGCATCAAGGCACTCCAAAAATATATAATGTACCTATTAGACCGTTCGTTAAAAATAAAATTTGGTTTGCCGGGCTGAAAAAGATGTCTTTTGGTCTAAAAATAAGCTGTGCAAAATTTTATTCGAATATGATAACTCTAAGTACTTGCGCGTTGCATTTGACAATTTAGAAAACCATATGCATCCTGGGAAAATTTTTTTTAACAAAATAGTTGAAAGTCGTGAATTTTATAGTCATTTGCTATGTAAAATAACTCACACAATCTGAATATGAGGTTGAAAATTAAAAAAGTAGAATAGGTTTTAAGAATTTGCGAAATTATCGTTTTTTTTCAAATTGAGAAAACAACATTTTCAATTTTTTCCAAAAATATCCGGTTGTGATTATCACACCGCAAAAAGATTAAAGGTCTTTGAAATCCATATGAACCTGCTATACAATGTTTTGCAATCAAATTATCAGTTTAAGAGTT